TTGAAATCCAAATCCGTTGATTGCCAAATCGATAATTTTTGATTTTAATCTAACAGGCCAAGAGACTGGAGGAAGGTAGAAAGAGAAATCTGGATATTTAATTGAATTCTCCCAACTATTATTGAAAAAATGTACGGAGAGCAGTATGGAGAAGTTGCATATTATTAACATCTGTGCTTACAGTGTAAAGGCTTAAAACATTTCTTGTCCTTCTAATGTTTTCAAGTGCTTATCCTGCTTTGTGATATATTTTGTCAGGGTTGTTGTGCTGGATAAAGTGACAGACTTCATCCTGTTTCTCGGTCAGCTGACCATTACAGCGGGCTTGGGTGAGTCTTAAACATTACGCCTAAATAAACTGACATCTGAAACCAAGTAACGATGGAAATTCTTGGATCCAAAAAGAATTATTTAACACTTCATTGGCGGTAACAACATGAAGTACAGCAGACGAACCATAAACTGACACTTGTCTAACGCCCTCTCCGGCTTACGTTGCGTCTTTAGTAGACTTTCGTTTCGATCTTCATAAAATCTGTTGGAGACTATATGTAGCAAAGTTTTAAAGTCGCGATTAAGGACAATCACTTGCAACGCGTAGATCATCAGTTACAACCTTGTTCTCAGGATCTTTCTTCAACCTGTTCTCCCTGCTTTATTGGGCGGGGCGAACTGGTTAAACGTAAACGCTGGGAACTAGATTACATGCATGAGTTATTGCTGTGTTGATAAGAGACCACGTGGCTGTCATTCGCTCACTCGACCACTCGATAAGGTTGGAATCGTGAATTATAAAGAAACAACTGCCATCTTCCCTATGTTAGTGCTATTGCCCATGTTGTCGTTGTATTGTTTATATTTATTGATTATCTATTTGTCACCATTCAGGTATTGGAAGTTTTTATTGGTTTGAACGACAAGATAACCTCAACTACTACTTGGCCCCTGTCATTGTAAGTATCCACTTGAATGCTTTTTATCTTGTCTTGTAAACTACAGAAATACAACTCTCCGTGTCTCGAGGTTGATAAAAATTAACCTATGTATGAGCGCGCGAGAATTTTCACAATATTAGTTGTATTAAAGTTTGCTCATCGCGCGAACAACCTCGTTCCCAAGGATCTCTCTTCTGAGGAAAAAGAGAGACCCTGGGAACGTGGATGATCACGCGAACAGCACTAAAAATCCTGCGTTTGGTGCGGTTATTTTTGGTGGTAGTAAGTTATAAGATGTTTCTAACGTACCCGCTAAGTCTTTGTCTTTATTTGTTTTGTTAGATCATCGCTGTTGGTGCGTACGTTGTGTCAGCAGCCTTTTTCAGCGTCTACAGCATGGCCATTGATACAGTCTTCCTTTCTTTCTGTAAGTACTGAAGGGGAGGGGGAGGAGGGTAAGGCGCTGGACTCCGGGATCGAGCATTCCGGGTTTAAGCGTTGACCAGGGTCATTGTGTTGTGTTCTTAGGTAAGCCACTGAACTCTCACAGTGACTCTCTACCCAGGAGTATGAATGGGTACCGGCGATCGAACTGTTGTTAGGGCAATCTGACAAAATGTTGGGGGTAACCTGTGATGGACTAGCATCCCATCCAGGGGGAGTAGCAATACTCCTAGTCAGCTTCATGCTACAGAAACCGACGTTAACCGGTACTGATGATCCATTTGGCTCCTCTGATCCATTGCATTGGAACAGGCTGAAATCTTTAACTTATTTAGGGATATGGTAACGGATAGAACAACCCTATTTTGCTAGCCGGGTAACAGTCCAAAAGCGCCCATGGGTAACTTGCAACCCTTAGATAACGGCGATTATGTCCAAGATATGTGAAATGTGCCAAAGAGACGCGGCCATGCATTTTTCTGTGGCGTTTACGATTCTCGCTCGACCATAAGGGAGTTAAAGATGCACATACAGTGGAACCCCGATTTAACGAACCTCGATTTAACGAAGTCCCCGATTTAACGCACAAATTTATTCAGCCCGGCCAGAATTACAATAAAATGTTTTGAAAAGAACCCCTATTTAACGAACCCCGATTTAACGAAATACCCGAATGTAAATCTACCCCGATATAACGAATAAATGTCATCACGCCACAGAAGATGAATAATCGACTACAGTAAAATCTTTTTATTCTCTAAGAAAGTTGTCAGCAGTCCATTACAGTCATACCCCGATTTAACGAAGTTTTTGGTCAGTTTTCAACAAATTCGTTATCGGCGGGGTTCTCGATTAACGAAACCCCGTTTTAACGAACCAATTTTCCCAGTCCCTGGCACTTCGTTAAATCGGGGTTCCACTGTACTGCTCAAAGCCCATAGTATATATGTATGGCCCAAGAAGCTGAAACAGCTATGATAAATTCGCTACTGTTTTCGACTGCTTATGGACATTTTCCAAGAAACAGAAATTTCCACTTTCAGCCTTTTCCGACAAAACTCGTTAGTCGTTACATATACTAAGAAATATCGTTCCGATTATTTGTTGTTGTTGTTGTTGTTTATTATTATTTGCTAATACTGTTTATGTTTTGTTAAATACAGTGGAGGATTCCGAACGTAATGACGGCTCGCCGGAGAAGCCATACTACATGTCCAAATCCCTGAGGAAGATCATCGGCAAGAAGAACAAGAAAGCTTCCGACAGCGACTAGAAGTGCAGTCAGATCATGACATGCATCAGATACGCACCAGCTCATGTGATCAATAGTTTTTATTTTTTATAGCCGCGTAACGGTAAATCTACTTTAAACTTTTACTTCAATCGGAGGAACAAGTGCTGTTTTGGCAATCTTCGTTGAAGCACTCGAAGAGTTTCCGATTCTTATTATCCAATCAAAACTTTAAAGGAGCTATGTCATGCATGATATTTCAAGTCATTTTTGCGAAGTGCAAAATGCAAAATCGCCTTCAAATTGATCAAGAAAGACTCAAAATAACAGTTTACTTAAGGTAGAAAAACACCAAAGAGGTGATAATAAACCAAACAGGAACAAGGATGGTTGAGGATGGAGAAGATTAAGACGGATTACGAACGGCGAACTTGAAAAAAATGGCCAATTTCTTCAAGATGCACCATCCGTGACGTAGCTCCTTTAGCAATCGCGTCAGCATAGCGCAATGAGGATACCGTTACGTCATGTTGCTTAGCAACATCGGTAACGAAAACTGCGGGCTCAGTCCCGTTGGAGGAGGGATTTCGTAGTGAACTGCCGGGCACTTGTTCTTTCGTTTGATTGGCTGCGGGGTATTCGTTTTCAACCAATCGGAACTTGGAGCAACAATTTTAAAGTTAATGAAATCGTCTTAATCGCGTATCTTAGCTTTCAAAGAATTTGATAGGATTCGAGAAGTTTCTACCAGTTAAAAATTTGAAGTGCCAAGGTTTTATTAAATGACATTCAAAAATGTTTTTTTTTTTTTAGATGTGTTGGTTTTCGCTGGACGAAATCTTTGTATATACAATATTCTCTCTTTCATTTTATTGGGATGGGTGTTTTTATGTATTTTTTTAGCACAGAGTGAGTGGTTTTATTGCTTTAATATACATTGTGGTAAGCTCTGAAATGAGCGTACACACAGACAACATTAACCATTCGCCTAAGATTGTTATTTTTATTTGCTTGTAGTTTCTATAGGCATTGTTAATGGTACATTCGCTGATACAGTCCTTTAACCACGTTCAGTTGAAGGAAACGCTTTTTAAGGCACAAAGACGCATTACAACAACGGGATCACCTAAGGTGCTCAGTTTTAAATAATCAACGAACGAGACGATTTCTCCGAATGAGTGAAGAATTAGATTTTAAGTCGTACAGTGCGGAGTTGAAATTTGTAAAGGAGTTCAAGAAAACCGTAATGTCCATTATAACAACACGTGCGTCTTCGTTTGTCAAAGTAAACTTTCCCAATATTTCCGCGTGGATGTTAGACTGCGAGCAGTTTCTGTTCTCCCTTATGGCTCCGGTCGAACGAGTAGGAGAAACCTAAGTCGTAAGAAAACAATTAAATCTGAAGGATCCGGATTGATATGTATGTCATCACTTGAGATGAAAAAAAGTATAGCAATCAAAATATTTTTCCGCACTCGACGATTCATTACGCAGAACAGAAAATGCTCGCGCCTTGATAGGTTTCCTTTTTGACCCGCTTGAGGGCTTAGCCTTCGGGGGATTAGAAGGCTACTAATAATTATTTAAGGACTCTAAGAATCAGTATAAGCTTACAAATAAGCTTTAGCTCAAATGAGCGCATTTAATTTAATTGTATGTTTTATATAGTCCATTATATTGTAAGTGCGCTTGCATGCACGTGTAACGTTTAACTAAGTTATATTTATTAGAATTTTTCGCGTAAATTATGGGTGAAGCTTCCCTCCAAACAGGGCTGTTTTGTGCATATTAATTGTATTACTTTCAAGCACCCTGTATAATATTATTATAAATCATTCTTGTCAGCGTGTTTTTATAACAGTCGTTCGTACTGTATAGTTACATAACAAGACGTGCTGGTCTTCGAGCTTCTCTTTTGGGGAACAAGTGCCGTTTATGGTGAAGCCTCTTACAGACACTCGAAGAATTTTCCAATAAGAAAATAGCACCCGCGCTCTGCGCATGCACACATATTGATGTCATAAGGGCATGCGGGCGCATTGATTTTCCGACCAAACACGGCACTTGTTTCCCAGACTGCACAGAGCACCGTTAGAGTGTAAGTCATTACACGTAGCGTAAAACATTGTAGTCTTTGTTTCCCTACTACGTAGAAGACTTGAAGTGTTAATAAAAAATATCAAAAAACGTACATGGTTGCCTGTGTTTGTGTGCTCTCTCCTCGCGCTTGCGCTCCCTAAACTCTTTACATACGCCTGCCATGCAGGCTATTTCTTGCGTTGCCGAGCGCTGACATTATTCATGGCGAACAATAATCATCACATTAATAAGTGATCATGGCGGTTATGAATGCAATTTTTGCAATTGCAATATAAGTCAGAACAGAATTCAGGCTTCAACAGGATTTGAACCCATGACCTCCGCGTTACTCGTGAGTGCGATGCTCTACGAACTGATCTATGAAGCCACACATGCAGGGAGCAGGTCAATTGTGAGTTTATACACCCGTGATAGGAATTGAATTGAATGTGATGATGAATATATGAATGAAATCATATGTGTAAGCTGCGGAAATGAATAAGTGACCATCGCATCTCGAGTAATCTAAGAGCAATGTTTTACAACCATTACCCGGACAGGGCCAGTCGGCTTAAACGTTAAATCAATTAGACTGCAAGTTGGCTCTGCTTCGCGTCCTCCCTTGCACTAGTTTGTGCTTCAAGCGAACGTGAGCGAGCGGAAGTGCTCACTTGCAGTCTAACGTTACATGGTAATTGAATATTTTCAATTGTTTGAATGATCAGTAGCCTGAACTTTAGCCGTCTCCTCTGGTCGCTTCTGGAGACGGCTAAAGTTCAGTCTACATAGATCTACTTGGCTTGGGTTGTAATTTATCTTACTTTGTACAATATCACTCATATTAGTCGAAACAGTGATACCCCAAAGGGTATGGTTTTTTAGACGTTTTGGTCTGAAATAAGGTATAGGTTTTGACCATTTTGGTCTGAAATAGAGCGTTTTCACGTGACGTCATCAAAATTCTAAATTCAAAACTATTGATCATACAAAGCTGTTCTTTTAGTATATTCTAGACATCAGTGTCGCTAATTGCTGGGAAAAGGTTTGCGCCAGCAGAGTGCTTCATTTTGGAGATGAAGCGTTTTGAAATTTGAGACGGCCTTGGCTCAATGTGACCTGAAATGTTACAGAAACCAATATTTTCGCACTTTTTAAATAATTTTCCGATATGCTAATAAGTTAAAAATGATAACTAAAGCATTCCGAACTAAAACTCATTTTACATGACTTTGGAAACAAAATCTTTTTTTCTTCTCGCTGACATTTTTGGCCGCCATATTGGTGTTCCAAACTGGTACACCAATATGGCAGACCCATACTAAGCTCTGTAATTTTCCGAATATTGTTTTCCCGATAACTTCGTTGCAATGAACACTGCGAAGTTAAAATTTGGGGAATATATTTATTTTCACCTACTCTACAATCTCTGAGTTTGTTGATGTTTTTGATGCACGCAAAACGATCTTGTTATTTTGGTGAAAACGCTCTATAGGGTATGTCTTGTGCACTCTGGCCTGGAATTTGGTTTGGCTTTTAGACAAAACTATTTTGCCATTAATATCGGGGAATTTGAAGCCCTTTTCAAATGTTTGCGCAAATGGAACTCATTCCTGGGTTAAGCTGAAGTCATGTATTAGATTCGTGTACTAATTTTAAGTTTCACTGTAAGTTCCTGGATTAAAGGAGATTAAGTTAATCTGTCAATACTCTTCTAGCCATGTTAATGAGACCCTGCTGTTCCGTACTTTAGGGGGTTGAAAAAACCCCACCCACATGAGGAAGGAGCGAAGCTGCGCTAAAGGGGGGCCGATGCTGGTCCCCACCCACCCAGGTGCTGGGTAGACACAAGAAACCAAAGAGACTGATTGTGGTGGCAAAACTTGGGTGGCAAGGAAGACAGAACCTGTCTCCCCTAGAGTAGCGGTGTCTCTAGAAGAACCTACGTTAGAGTGTAACATAGGCCGGACCAGAAGGGGGTGCCCTTCTGGGAGGACAATAGGTCAGATGGTACGATGGTACCATCCTGGTGAGACCCGGACCTATTTCCAAGGGGCCATAGCACTTGTTGTGGGGCGAAGTGCAGCCTACGGGTGTACTTCCCTGCCACAATTGTGCGAACCCGCTGCTATCCTGGAAAAGGAGGGAGGGGGTAACACAATTACCCCACAGTAAAAGTAAACAGGAAAAGCAGACCTCTACATGTATGTGTAGAAGGTAGTGGGAGGTCTTTCACCCGCAATAGCTTTCTGTTATTCCTGTATGACATTTTAAAATAATTATTAATTATTTGTGTGGCGGGGAAGACAGAGCCTGTCTCCCCTAGAGTAGCGGTGTCTCTAGAGGAACCTTTTGTTTTTATACCGACGTGCAGCCTGTATGGTATGTAAATAAGTTGCCGGTTATTGTAAAATCGCTCCTTTGTTTTTAAACAAGATGGCAACAGCAAAGGAAAAAAGGTTCCAGTGGAATACCCGGTAACTTATTTGCATGACATTGAATGAGAATGGATCCTTTTGGGGTTTTTTATGCTTCGTTCTAACGAACGTTCAGCCGATATGTAAATAGGTGCAGGTTATTCAAATTCTGATTCTCTGATGACTCTTCCCGCGCAATTTCAAATTTGGTGCCCGGGCTGAACTTCGTCATGTAATCGCAACAAAATTCCAGCCCCCTAACCGGGCTGAGATTTCAAATTCGCCATGTAATCACCCCATAGGATGGTCCGCCTGTGGTTTAGGACAGACTCGCATAAAATTATATACCCTGTTCAGGTCAGAGAGGCCAAAAACCACACCCTGTCCAGCGGCACGTCCCCGTATAGGCCATATAAGGGAGTACCCCCCTACCCCGGGTCGCTCATTCTGCTCGAAATTCTGCCGGCAGAATGGCAGTCAAAAACAATGAACAATGCCAACAAATATAATCGACTACATAAATATGCCCAAACTAGATAAGAATAGGCAAACATACGAAAGGGCTATAAGAAGAGAGCAACGGATGAAATAAGATTTTTAAAAAATTACTGAATATAAATTTTAAAATAATGTTTAAGGTAATTCCATCGAAATAGAAGTTACACTGGGAAGTTTCTGAAACTTTTCCTAGTTGAACATTGTGATGTAATGTTTCAAAATATAGAATAAAAAGAATAGGTCACCAGCCCCGCGAAAGAGATATAATCGACTAAAATACCTCATAATTCCTTACAAAATCAACCAAAAACCCGTATTTTTTCACGTTTTCAGTGATTATTAATTTCTCTGCACTGAGAATTGGTCTATACGATAGTGGCGTTAAATTATGTCAAATGATGGTTGGTGATGTCTAATGACGTCGAATGATGCGTACTACCGTATATGGTGGTTAGAATTTATGTTGGATTTCCCATATTGGTGTATATAGGACACCAATTTACAACCCAGTTTTCCTGCCCTTCCAGGCGCTTCGAAAACTGAGGAGGACTGAGAACTAACCATCGGAAGCGAAATGGCGGAAAAGTTGGATTCCGAAAATATTCTGCTGCTCACAGACTCTTACAAAGTAAGAAAACTGTGGCGAAATGACGTGATTTACCACTTAATGGTTGCTTTCACTCCTTTTTCTGTCGTAAAGATCCGAATGTGGCATGTTTTGCCTTGTTTCGACGGTCTTCGGCCTTCCGGTTTCAAGATTTTTTTGTATACTGCAGAGTGTGTAACTTGGTGTTGTTGTTTATGTTTACGTCGCAAACAGGTGTCTCACCACAAGCAGTACCCATCAGGCACGACCATAGTGTTTTCTTACTTTGAAAGCAGAGGGGGAAAGTTTCCAGAAGTTTGTTTCTTCGGTCTGCAATACTTGATAAAGGTGAGTTTACAAACACTTTCACTTTTGATTTCGCGCGCGCCTGTTTACAGTACTAAGTTAGGAGACCGGGCGCCCTTCGTCAATTAGTACTTATGAGTGGATTAATACAATACAAGATGCTGACTTCATGTGTTTTGCATGTTTGAATGAATATCCGTAAATTCCACGTTAAAAAATGCTGCTAATAATAGCGAGGCAATTTAAATCAAGCGACGTCAAGTTAATAAATTATTCAATAGCTTATTTACATTTTGTAACAAACCTCTCAAACAACGAACTACATTACAAGTGGCAAACTCTTACTTGTGATCACTAAATAAACTTTAAGCACATGCAATAAATTGCGTCAAATATTTGAACAATTTTCTGTTACCAGTTCTGTTACTATAAATAAAGACCAAAGACCAAAGTTAGTTGACTCATGCACATGTTTCTTTATATAGAGATGGCTAGTGGGGCAAGTTGTAACAGCAGAAAAAATTCATCAGGCAAGAGATTTTTACAAACTTCACTTTGGTTACGATCTTTTCAATGAAGAAGGTCAGTGTAACATCATGTTAAAATCAAACTGTTTTGGGATTCCATTTGAGCTGTTATGTAATCCCCAGGGGAGGGGGTCACAGGGGGTAAGAACTTAGTCGTAAAGGGGGCTGGGACTCCCAAGGTTGGGGAACTGGGAGAAATAGGAAAAAAGTAGATAAAAGGTGAGAACTGGGAGTAGCATGTACAGGAAGCTGAAAGTTTGAACAGACGGTCCCCCTGCCTCCCCCCTTCCCCCACTCTTTGTAATTTTCTTGTGGCAGGTTATGTGTCAACAAATTGCACAATGCAGTGGCGGATCCAGACCTGTTTATAAGGCGGGGGCCGAAAAAATTGTCCGGCGCTTCGGCCCTTAAGTATTTTCGCCCATAAGAGAGCCCTCTCCTAGATCGCCACTGCAGTGTACCACAAAAGTGACATGTTAAATTGCGATATAATTTTAGAGCGAGGTTGGCCATGTGACCTCCACATGCAAAAATTTGTTATAATCTGATGAATTCCTTTTTCAAAGGTTGGCTATACATCTTAAAAAAGTATGAAGGTAAATTACCCCTCAGGATCAGAGCTGTACCAGAAGGCTCAGTGGTTCCTGTTAAAAATGGTAAGAATTTTGCCTTACTGTATTAAATAACATGAAAAGAGTGATCATCCTGCCGCCCCGCATGTCTGGAATTTCCATTCCGGGGATGTGAATCCCCCTTACCCCCAGGAATTTCAAAGGTTTTTCATCTGAAGCCTCCCTACCCCTTGGAAATGTACACTCTTACTACACTCTATCCGCAGTAAATAACATGATTTATTTCTGTTTGTCACTTTTTATCTCCTGTAACCATGTAGTCTACATGGTTACAGGAGATGTGTCACTCGCCTTCCACATATTTGTTAGCTAATTAGTGAGCTATCTGTCATCTAGATTGATCTCAAGTTCAAGTTCATTTTATTTGCACTTATTTTTTTAAAGAATTACAATAATATATATATAAGTTATAAACAAGAAAGAAA